TTCCCCATTGTCCTGTCACTCCATGCCCTTGTCCAAGGTCCCTCTCCACCTCTCCTGGAGCCCCATCATCTCCTGGATCATGAAGTGTTTGCCCTTGAAAGGGCTGGGCTGTGGGAGATGTGAGATTCCATAGCTGGGGACACAAACATAGTGTCAGCAGGGAAGAGAGGTGACAGTTCTGGTCCCAGGGCCAGCAGTTTCCAGCAGGAGCATTCCAAATCCCTGAGGCACATGTCAGCCTGTGTTGGCATCATCTCACCTCAGCTTTCTAGGAGTTCCTTGGAATTCCCTGTAGGCTGCAGTCTGACTGCTAAGGGATTGTGGAAGATGACTCAGGGGAAACCTTCTCAGAATTACAATTTTCTCAGAAATAAAGGCAAGAGAGAAGCATTGATTTACCTCTCCTCAGCAGAAATGACATTGCTGTGCTCCTGTGCTCCATCTCAGGCACAGAATTGATTATTGCATGAATCCTCTTGGAAACTGCATGGTGAAGGTTCAGTGCCACTGAAATTGCAGTATACAAGTGGGAAAACGGAATTTGGACCAGAAACCAAAGACTCACAGGACATTTATATTGCAGGGTCCTAAGGAGCCACCCCAGGAATGAGATGTGGCAAGTTCAGACAATTAAAAGGACAAGATTTTGGGACTGGAGTTGCTTTAAAAACAGAAGAGGAAGGTGACCTGGAGACAAGCTGCTTTTCCCTTAGGTCTCCTTGCTGAGGCTCTCTCCTGTTCCTCAGTTCCTGGACAGAGTGAAGAGCAGATGGGAAGCAGAGCCCTGATCCCGTCCCAGGCTCTGAACTAGTTCCCTGTTTGTGAGAGCCCTGGAGAACACGAGGCAGCACGGAGAACAGGGGGCTGTGGCAGGAGCTGGACAGAGCCCGCGCCGGACGCTGCTCGGGCTCGCCCCGCGGGCTTCGCTCCCCTTTCCCAAGTGACGATTCCAGGGAAGCTCCTGAAGATCCCGCCCCAGGGACAGCAGCTGGGGTGTGTGAGGAGATGTGAGTGCACTACAGTGAAGTTCTCCAGGCTGTGAGAGGAAACAAGGTCAGACTCTTCTCGTTCAGCTTAATCAGTGGCTCCACATTGGGTGGAGCCTGGTGATGAATTTTGGGCGGAGAATTGAGATTTGTAGGGAATTAAAAGTGATAAATACTGTGGGAAAATGGAGGGAATATTCAAAGGAGTGTCCTGATGAAGGAATCCTCCAGCAGCTCAGTGATCTCAACAGACACCTGAGAGTCCAGGTCACATCCATCCCAAAGCCATTTGCTCTCTGCTATCTCCATGGGCAATCTTTTCCTTCTCCAATTGTTATCCTCCTCCAGCTCTGTCCTGTCCACAGCCAGGAAGGAGGTATGTCCCTGACTTTTCTGCCAGGCACACCAGACCAGGCTCCAACATCCTACTTGCCATCTGTCCTGTCCCTCGCCTCTCCCTGTGCTGCTCCCCATGGAAGCTGTGAGTAGGAAAAGATGGGAAAAGCCACGTTTGGGGGACAGCAGTGTTGTTGTGGTTTCTCTCTGTATCACCCCTCCAGCTGTGTGGGGGCAAGGAGAAGCAGCAGAGGTGTCACAATGAGCACTTTGTCCCCTGCCAGCGAGGGAGCCAGCCCTGCCTGCTGGAGCCAGCCCGGTGGGTAGGCATCCAAAGGAATCTGGAATGAGGAGAACCACGACAACTGGAGCGAGAGTGACAACAGGCACTGGAGCAAAGTGCCTGCCACGCTACTGCTGCTGCTGTGCCTGTGTGGAATGGTGGGAATGGGGCTGTGCTCCTGCTCCTTGGCCAACAGCAGTGCCCGCCCTCTGATTTACTTCCTGGCTGGGAGCTGTGCAAAGGAATTCACCCCCTCTGTTGGTGTTGCCTTCCAGAGGCCTTTTGAGGATGTGCC